TATATACATATATAATTTTGTAACATTGATGTTCATCTTAATTCCCTTTCAATGGTGAATTAATTCTAACAAATTTCCATTTAGAGGGCTTCCATATTGGCTGAGGGAGGAACCAAACATCATTTTCCGTTCGGATAATCCAGCATACAAGGTACATCACACCTCAATGTGCAAAACCAGTATGATTTGAGGAGCCAGTGACTAATATTATAAGACCTTAAATTCCATTTGCAGCAACACATGGAGGCTTACGTGACGAAGATAATGAAGATGATGAAAGATGAGAAGCTATTTGCTCCACAGGGTGGTCCAATCATCTTAGCCCAGGTTGGTACTTGGTTCCACTCCGAAAATTGTTACTTCCGGGGAAGCGTTATTCTTCTGATCGGGCTAACCTATTATGTTTCATGACACAGATTGAAAATGAGTATACTCATGTCCAGCTTGCATATAAAGAGTTGGGGACCAATTATGTGCAGTGGGCAGCAAATATGGCGCTTGCGCAGAACATCGGCGTGCCATGGATCATGTGCAAACAGACGAATGCTCCTGATCCAATCGTAAGTTTGCAAACTTAATTTCCGTTGATTCTAAGACAAATTAAGCAGTAAAATTTACCGGTAGAACGAAGTTTTTTTATCTGTTTTTTCTGTCCTTTGATCGTAAAGAAAAATAATCTTTCTTGTGCTCAGATTAATACTTGCAATGGAAGGCACTGTGGAGACACTTTTGCAGGCCCTAATAAGCCTCATAAGCCTTCTCTATGGACTGAGAACTGGACTGCTCAGTGAGTAGATATACAGAATATTTAGTGAGCGTATAAATAAAAAAAAAAAAAACACCGGTTTTCCGACCACATTTCTTCTTTTTCATGATTAACAGGTACAGAGTATTCGGTGATCCTCCTTCACAAAGATCGGCAGAAGACATTGCGTTTTCAGTTGCTCGATTTTTCTCCAAGGACGGAACCCTAACCAACTACTATATGGTAATTAATCGGTCACCTTTAATTATTTACAAAATCATCACTTGCGGAATGCTATATAAGGCAACCTTATTTTACCCTTGCAGTACCATGGTGGAACAAACTTTGGAAGAACAAGTGCTATTTTCACAACAACTCGATACTATGACGAAGCTCCTCTCGATGAATATGGTAAAAGATCTTAAAAAAAAATTCATCTACGATGATGATTCTAGATGGTTTCTCATCATATAACCAGGGCTTATTTTATTTTCGATGCAGGTTTGCAAAGGGAGCCGAAATGGAGTCACCTAAGGGACTTGCACAAGGCTTTGAATCTATGCAAGAAGCCTTTGTTGGCAGGAGCTTCTGGAGTAGTAAGGTTGGGCAAAGAAACTGAGGCAAGTATCGGCATGTCCCCATAAATCGAGAATTAAGCAGGAAGAGAAGGAGAAGAAAGTGTCACTAATACGTTAAATCCTTTCTGCTTTGTAGGCTCGTTTCTATGAGAGGCCCGGAACAGACATTTGTGTTGCTTTCTTGGCAAACAACCACTCAAAACTAGAAACAAGTGTCACTTGGCGTGGGCAGGAGTATTTCCTGCCACCACATTCCATTAGCATACTCCCGGATTGCAAGACCGTGGTCTTCAATTCTCAACAGATTGTGTCACAGCATAATTCGAGGAACTTTGTTCGATCAAAGGCTGCTAATAAACTCAACTGGGAAATGTCTCCAGAACCAATTCCGACCGTTGAGCAAGTGCCTGTGAATCAAAAGAAACCACAGGAACTTTACCACTTGCTCAAAGATGCCACAGACTATGGATGGTTCACCACTAGGTAAGTTCATGCGTGCGCATGTTAGGATTTACAAAAATTTGACTTTTACTGCTGGCATGACAATTTTTTTGTGATTGCAGCCTTAACCTGGGTCCATATGACTTGCCGATGAAGGATTCTATTCGCCCAGTTATCCGAATCCCAAGTCTTGGTCACGCAATGGGCGTATTCGTCAATGGTGAATATATTGGTAAGAGCACAGCAACAGTCCTGCATACATTACATCCGTCCATACTTTGTCAATGTCAATGTCAAGGTTAGTGACAGGGCATGCCCTGCACTTTCTTATGACTTTATGACTAAGCGATTCGAGGATGTTTTCAGGAAGTGAACATGGAAGCCACGAGGAGAAGGGATTTGTCTTCGAAAGACCTGTCACATTCAAACAAGGGATCAATCACATATCACTGCTTTGCATGACAGTGGGACTCCCAGTAAGTCAGCTCATAATTTGAATGGTACTGTTTGAGTAGGGTTTAGGGTTTAAAACAGGTGCTGACTAATTTATTCTCCATCGATGAAGGATAGTGGAGCATACATGGAGCACAGATACGCGGGACCCCGAACTATAAACGTCCTGGGACTGAATACCGGAACAATTGATCTCTCACAAAATGGTTGGGGGCATAGGGTATGTACCATTGAATTTCTTCTCGTTATAACAGGCAAATGATTTCTGCACTTCCGTTTTTCTTAAGAGGGAGGACAGAAGGCGAAATCATGAGTGCGATGATCATTTCCCTTGGAATATTGAAATGGAGATGATGTCCAATTTTGTTGGCTCCCATTTTTCAGGTTGGTTTGAATGGCGAAAATCTACAAGTGTTCACCGAAAAAGGAGCACAGAAAGTCCAATGGACTAAAGCTGTAGGCAAAGGAAGGGGTCTCACATGGTACAAGGTAAAATTTCCGACGCCAACATTTTCAACTCCGATTCGTTTTAACAATTTCTACATTGCAGTATTTCATATCCAATGCTTTTGTTGCAGACATATTTTGATGCTCCTGAAGGGAGAGACCCTGTTGCTATCCGGATGACTGGAATGGGAAAGGGAATGATTTGGGTGAATGGTTTAAGCATCGGGCGGCATTGGATGAGCTACCTCTCTCCTCTTGGACAGCCTACTCAAGCTGAGTAAGTGAAATTACACACTGGAAAAAGCGTACACTCTGATATAGTGATGCAATATATCAATATAAATCTCCACGAAAACTGCAAAGTTAAGTTGCGATTTGCAATCCCTGTGATCAGGTACCATATTCCAAGATCCCTTATCAAGCCGAGCAAAAATTTCCTTGTTGTATTGGAGGAGCAGGGTGCTGACCCCAAGGACATTGAGATCCTAACAGTCAACAGAGATACAATCTGTTCTATGAGTACACAGATGCATCCTCCACACGTTAAGGCATTCGAGAGAAAGGCAGGCAAGTTCAAAGTTGTTGCAGGCGTCCCTGGTGCAACTGCTCAGCTCAAGTGTCCAAACTACAAAAAGATTGTTGCTGTTGAGTTTGCAAGCTTTGGTAGTCCTGAAGGCGCATGTGGAACCTATGCCATTGGCAAATGTGATGCTCCAGGAACCAAGAAGATCGTTGAAGAGGTAAAAAGCTCCCTGGGCATAATGCAGGTTCTTCAACCAATGTGATAAATTATGAATTCTGAAGTTCTAACCGATGTTTTTGTTTTGGCTTTTTTCAGAAGTGCTTAGGACAGACTACATGTACAGTCCCTAGTGACCCCAAGCTATTCTTCAAAGTGGATCCTTGCCCAGATGTCAAGATCAAAACACTTGCGATCCAAGTAAAGTGTTCCCACTAAGGGGTCAGAGGGTTTGATAGAAATGTTTCGGGGAGAACTGAAGATCCTGCAGCTAGTTTGCGGTGGTTTGAGATGGCTAAGTAGAATTTGGGATCTTGGAAGCTCAAAATATATGTTCTTAGTAAAACATGTCCTGTAAAGCTTTGTTTTCATCACTTGAAGCTGATCGATCAAGTGGTTTATCTTGAGCAAACGAGGCAAAACTTGTTTTACAAGTAACATAATCAAGGGGCATGACATTATGATTTTGCCAAAAATATTAAAAAAATTATTGTAAGTTCATCTTCTTTGATACATCAGACTACAAGTGTCTGCCAGAAACACTCACTTTCTTTGGTCGTGAAAAATGCAAAGCTGCATACGAGGAAGATACTTATATATGCTTCTTTATGCACAGTGTCTTACCACCAACAGAAAGAAAACCATTCAAACTTTTCAACAAATAAACACAACGCTATTCACCGGAAAGATGCACGAGCTTAGGGCCCGTTTGATAATCATTCACTTTTTAGGTTGCACTTTTAATTTTTCTGGATAAAGATAGAAAGAAAGCGTGTGGAAGAAAATACGAATCAAGAGGGGTGAAAGGAAGATGGAGACATGAAGAACGTATGAAACAAAAACTTGAAAGTGAAACTAATTTAAAATTAAAAATACTTGGTTGCTTACATGTTAAGAGAATCTCCTTTCTTCATGTATAAGAAATTTTGATCTTCATTGTTTTGATCAACTACTTCAATATATGTCGGCTTGTGATTTATAAGTAAGAAGAAATTGACTTTCACCTCCAACATAAAAACAAAGTTTAAAAACAAAAAATTTAAACATGGGTCAATCATCTCTCCTTATTATCTCAGAGACGCCTTAGATAAGACTATTCACCATATTGAAGTTATTTTGAAGGAAGAATTGAATGACTTCCTCCTCATCTCGTCCGAGTTGAAGGTTAATCATGAAGATAGCTTGTTTCTTTCATCCTATCATATTTATGAGAATTAGTAGGGATATATATTTTCTTCATGTCAAACAACTTGGACAAAATAAAGAAGTTATCGTTCCCTTAAATATACTATACGGCCCTATCCAAGCCAATCCTTTCTAACAAACGAAGCCTTAAATGTACAATTAGCAACTTCTTTTCGAATCCAGAGAAATTGAACTTGAGACCACCCAAGAAAAACATAGCTAGACAGAAGGCTAGTTGGTGCAAAACTAGCAACTTGACATATGGTTTGTTTCTTCCTATTCCTAATGTCGTGGTTTGATGATTAGTTTCGGTTTCTTTATACCAGCCACCAGGCCACCAGCGACCAGGCACCGGCGGCCGGACGCTAGCCACTCGGTTTCGTTACGACATGCAAAGGTAGGATTGATGAAAAATGGAAATAAGCTGGAACAAATTTATTTGAAATCAGAATTGGAATGAAATTACAAGACATAAAAATGTTTCACATGTTTTTGTTTCCCTTTCATCCTTTTTACCGCCATACATGTATATTCTATCACCCTATATTTATTTACAGTCCTTGGCGGCTCAAACGGCTCTCTCCATTCACTCTCTACAGTTTAAAATTGCGTCGATCCAACCTGAAACGAATACGACCAACTTCAGAACCAAACCAAGTAAATTCAAAGAAAAGCACAAACACAGTGAATAGCAATGCGTGAAGAATCAAAATATTTGCAACTTTGGAACCGAAACAACGGAGAACCATCAGAAAACGTAAAGAAACTGACCTCAACAATGTTGATAAGTTTAAGACCGCGCCAACGACAAAAGCCATTATTTGAGTGGAGAAGTAGAAATGCCACTTCCAACATCAAAAGTCATCCAAGGCTAAGGCTAATTAATTGCAAGCGGAAGACAAAACACCCCTAATTGTTTTGAATGTAATTAATATACACGGATCAATATGGCTAATCCCAAAAAGCTCATGACAAATCAAAGGATCCTTGCCCTTCACTGATTGCATACAATAATTTCTTGAACATAATTTCCTGTTTGAAGCATCAGTCACAGCACGCAATATCAATAATAATTCCAGTATATGACGGAAATTATATGTTCGTGCATTAATAAACTGAAAACAATAATACCTTGGTTGAATAAGGAGGAAGCTTCAGGTAATTAGCGCATGTCATGACACTGGGCAGGTCATCATCTGCCAACTCTGAAACCCCGGTCCCGTTGGTTGCAGCATTATTTGCGGTTGAAGAATGCTGCACCAAAAATTGAATCATTTAACACCATCCCAAGTAAGCATGACCATTCTAAACATAACATTATCAATGAATTACTCAACAGATGCCCAAAAAAATAGATCCTCAATTTTATAGGATACATCACTCGAAACACTCATCTTATACTGCATTTGCGTAAGGAACGAATTGCAACAGCCCACCTGTATGTAAATTAGTTGTACCATACCTTTCTCACAATCGTCAGTTTTGGATTCAGCACCGCCAAACCACCAGGTGGAAGCCGAGGTGCACCAGTAACAAACTGGCAGAAGGCACGCTGCTGCTCTGGCGTGAACTCACCCATAATCTCGAGCAACTACAAAATTATAAACAAGACCCATATAAGAACAAAACAGAACAATTCATCCCCAGAGCACTCCCATGGATACAGAACAAGAAGTTACATTAAGTATTGCAGGGCTCTTGGCATTGTATCCATGATCAAACTTTATATGATCAGCAAGGGTCTCCGCCTGCAAAAGATCAGAAGGAAAAAAGATAAAATAAGTTAGCAATGTTCCAATTAAAATAGTGTAATTTAGCTAAGGGAAATAAGTAAACAATTACCTCCCACAACTCTCGACGACCACAAAGCAGATAGTCCAACTCATGTGGAGTAAATATTTGTAAAGACGATATGTCAAAGACCTGAAAGTCACGTAGTAAACACAAATGGAATTAATAATTGGACAGAAGAGAAAATTCTCACACGGCGCAGAGAGAAAAATACAACCATCACAATTCAAGACTAACTACCAGGTTTTAAGCTAGAGAGAGGCGCTTATAAAATAATTACAAAATAAAACTAGTGAGTACAGCGCACAGAGAAAAATACAACTATCACAATTGAAGACTAACTACCAGGTTTTAAGCTAGAGAGAGGCACTTATAAAATAATTACAAAATAAAACTAGTGAAGTACCAGACCAAAAAGTTAATAAACTACAGTGATAGGCCTGGTCCAGCAACCTACTCAACACCAGGTGCGGTTATTCACTGTTACAGAAGCATACACCCTTTTTATTCAATAAATTTTCAAATTCATTCTCCCCTCCACCACCATCACCTTCCCCCGAAACCTTCATAGGTTTGAGTTCACTTGCAGTTGGAAGATATAATAAATTAATGCATATTAATTACAATCGCAGCAGGACATTGAACTAAACAATGATATTTGAAAGAATCCTGGCACATAAAATGCACTAACTCAATAATAATCAGATAAAAAAAAAACTGAACCTGATTAAACCCTGCTCTAAATGCTTCAATTTGCCTCATTATCCCAGTCTTCACTGTCGCGTCAACAACTAAAGTTATGTACTCCTCCAAGTTATTGATGTCAACCTAGAAATTAAACAGTATGTTAAAAATGTCATTACAAGCACAATAGAAACCAAAAAAAGTAAAAAGGCACAAAAATAAAAATAAACCAGAAGACAATTTTGCTCACATTTTCATCTCCAGGTTTCAACACATAATCTGGATAGCCAGGGAGTGTAAAATCTAAACACAGGTCATCAATTGACACTCCACGTAAATGCAATTCAACAATGGCATCACGATTATCACCATTTGATTCTAAATATAGTTTCCGGCAGACAAGATTATGTAATTCTTGCAGAGTCTTTCCAAGCTCAGCATCAAAGGAAAGGATATCATGTAAATCAAGCTCCTGAAGGAATGGGAAGAAAGGAAGGAAAATGGGTTAATTTCTACATCAAAACTGTTTTGGTAAAAATATAAAACTAAACCACTTCAATAAAACTATATGTGAAATGAAAAAGGTTATATTCTTCCACTGGCTTACTTGACCAAGCAAAAGCTTATAAAATGCTGTTGATAGTGGCAAATCCAATAGCCGCCCATCTTGAAGAGCCTTCGCCATCACACGCCCAACCAACCTAAAGTATTCTATCACTTTTGAAAACTGGCTACCATCAGAAGCAACAGCGTTTGGAGGCCAGGGACGAGGGAACAACCCAAGCGGAGCTTGGACAATGTCGCCATTGCTTTTGCCATCTTTAGGTTCATCTCCATCAATATCCATTGATGTCTTCTCCATTGAAGAATTTGACCTCCACATGCCAAGTCTAACTCTTTGTAGGTCATGACTTAAAAGTGTGTAGAACTCAAGCGTAGGACCCAAGCCAGTGCCCACTTCACCAAAATATTCTACTTCAAGCACAGATTTTTGGCTGGAATACATCTCCATTACTTTTGCAGCAGAATCCAAAATCCGGTTTCGGGAAACGCGGACTTTCTGCCGTTGCAATCTCCCAACTCTCACCTCTCGTTCATTTGCATGACCATCAGCACCCTGCTGCTGCTGAAGACGGTACAGAGCGCGAGACAATCCAAAAGCTGTTGAATAGAAATACTGTCTCCGAGTCTCAAAAGGAAACAAAAATGGACATGCTTTTGTCAACTGGTAACACCAAGAAGGAAGACTCCCACTGCACAATGCAAGGGCATCTTGAATTTGCCGGGCTAATTTGGGAGTGAGTTTGCTGTTAATAAATTCCTCAGGAAAAACTCTAGCACCAGTTGTACTCAAGTCATCCAAATTCAAAACTTTACCCTCCGCAAAACTGTCGGAAACTATCTGAGCTCTCAGGCGAGGAGCAAGCTGATTCAAGCCCTCTAGTACACGCAGTAGTGCCAGTATATTATAAGTAGGATTAGATTTTTCTAAATCACAAGGAAGCTCTCCCTGCAAAATACTATCCAAAAGTGACATTCGATGCAATTGAGATTCGGAGTTGGAATTGGAAGCAGAGGCAGATTTCCCAGATTTTGTTGCAGTTGTAGGACTTGCACCTCCAACAGATGCCCTGTCAGTTTGATTGTCTGGCCTCTGGTATGTGATAGTGTAAATATCACTCCATAGCCTGCTACCTTCACTGGATACAAAATCACTCCCAGCATACCTTTCATCATCATCCTCATCCTGCACAAGCTGTCTCTGAATAGCCTGATAGATAGTCAGATGCCTATTAAGCTGCTTCCCTCCAGAAGTAAAAATCAACTTAGGAGGATCACTAGAACTGCCAAAAATAGGACGTCCTTGTCTATCTCTGCCTCCCCTAATGCCCCTGCTGGCAGATCCAAGCCCAGCCATGGCGGCAGCAGCAAATGACATTGCACCTTTTGAACCATAAGCAGAATTACTACTCCTATGCTCAGCAGAATCTGAGCCTCTACCTGTAGCAGCTCTGCTACTAGAGCCAGAAGCTGGGTTAGTATGATTGTCACTTGTGGCTGAAGCTACAGTAGCATCCTCAGTTGAGTCTCCCAATTTGACATCGTGTACTTTATCCGGCATGCAAACGGGAAGAGAGTCATCTCTTAGAACCTGCAAAAGTACCCATAATAGCAACAAGTAAAATACTCAAAAGTATCCAATATCTCCTGTTCAGGACAATAAAAATTAAAGACTCAAATAACATACATCATGGTCATCATCTTCGTCATCTGAGATATCATCATCTTCAATAACCAATTCATCCATCTCAACAGGCGATATATCCAATTCCTCATCCTACAGAAAGACAACATCAATGACTGTTCAAACAGAAATATGTAAAAGGCAGATATGGGTGAACTATGGCAGCGATTACCTCCAAACCAAACAAATCGAAAAGAAAAATACACTAGAAAGAGGTCGTAGTGTATTAAACAAACCTCATACAGATGAGATATCTAAGGAAGTGAATTGCCAACCAACTTTAACCAATAAAGAAATTTTAGCATTAAAAGATAAGTGCTTAAAGAGCAACGGGGAGGCTACATTATAGGGACACCAAAGTTAATGCACTGCCTTACCCCACATACCATTCTAAATTCCCTTACAAGGTTTGGTTTCACCAAATACCCAATAAACCCTTTGTCGAATAAAGTAGCCCATCAGAACAAGAACTCATAATTCTCTGTCCGTTAGAATTTACATCTTTAATTGGATAATCAACACAATAAGCTTGGATGTAAACTGAATCCATATCGGAACCCCAATGCCATATCAAAACCCATCAGATATGCAAAGAAAGAGATTGCATTAGTGAAAAAGTACTACTAGAAGTGTTTGTTAGCATGAACAAAAATAACCCAAACACTGCATAATTCAACAATTAATAATAATAATAATAATTACGAATGTCACTTTGGTATCAGTAACAAACCTCAGAAGTAGTGTCCCCATTTGTGGGCTTCATTTGAACATCTTTATCAAGAGCTGCCCGTCTACGAGCTGCATTTCTCGTTTGAGGTCCTCTTGCTTCCTCCTGAGAAGGCTTCAAAACAGCTTTACCCTTCCCTTTTGATGAGCTTGTGCTCTTCTCTTGTGATGGTTCCCTCCTAGCTGTATCTCCTATATTCACAGATGTTCTGGATCGCGTTGAATGGCGACGAGTGGTGGAAGCAGGATTTGAAGTAGACAGAGATGAAGCACCAGCACCTGTAGGTGTAGTTCCAGATTCCGAGTTTCCAGCAGAGGCAGCAGGCTTCTGACCAGATTCCCCTCGCTGTGTACTCGAGGCCAAAGAAACTCTTCTACAGCAGCTAAACTTGCTAATGGATCAATCAGAACAACGTTCGATGAATAGTCTCGGATGGTCTTTTCTCCTTGTGCTCGACAAAGACGCAACTTAAAGGGCTGAGATAATGCACTAAGTCCAGAGGAGAGAGGCGTGCGCTCCCAGTGGATGACCTAGATGAATGACTCAGCACAACCGGAAAAACGCTCTAAGGAGGACAAAGCATTTTGGAGCTTCTGAACGAGGACAGTCATTGGTGCTACACTTCCTTCATTAATACTGAAAGGAAGAGCAACAGCAACAAATGACTTAAATCTTCTCAGTGCTTGCTCATGAAGCTTGGGCAAATTAGCTTCCGAAATCCTCTCCTTGGAGAAGTACCCATAAGAAAAATAGTTGAGCAATGCTGCAACAACACCACTACCAATGAACTCAAAAGTGGATACACCATCCCCCTTGCTTAGTTCGGCTAGCATCTCAGATACCACACCAATCATGTACTCCTCCTTACTTGCAGAACTATCAACCAAGCGAGACCCAAAAGCTTTCGACTTTCCCTTTGCTTTCGTTTTTTGGTCATCAACACCTGCATTCAACTTCATGCATAGATTCTTTAAATGTAATAGATCATCTGTAACTCCAACTTCAACAGCCCCAGGATCTGAAGGGAAGTACTTGTCTTTAAAAGCTTTAGCACATGCACTGACAGCCATTCGAAGGCTGGAGTTAACAGTAGGAATCTCCACTGAACTTGGAGGTGAACCAATATTTGCTGAAGGGGGAATCTTAGTTTCTTCCAATGAATTTCCATCTGGATTTGAGTTACTGTTGCGTCGTCTATAACGCCTAGAACGTGATGATGTTCCAGGAACAGGATCACTATCCTTTTCAGCAGAAGATACTGGGACAGGAACTGAATTTGGAGTACCAGGTAAGATAAGTTGGTCCACGGCATGAACAACACCTTCTCTCACAAACACCTTGGAGAAAGTATTGGGAAGCTTCTCCATGAGTATCTCAGCAATTTGGAGAGCAGGAACCAAGACATGCGGATCTTTCCATGCTAAGACACCGGCTAAGAAACTATCAAATCATATAATAACATACAAGTTAGTAACTGTAGTACCATGCTGTCATCATATCAAGAGATCTGATAAAGAAGTATAGGATACCTTGAAATATTTGTTGAACTTAATAAAGACTGTATCATCTCTGCATTGCTGAAGTACATTAATTTCCCAATTACTGAAAGACATTTGTGGCGAACAGGGCCATTAACGCTAGAACCATAAATCTGTTTGGCAGGTACACAAAAATCAATTATCAAATATAAACAATTAATAAAATCAGCTGAATGCCAAATACTGACCTGTATTAAAACAGGAAGGAGATCCATTCCAAATTGCTGGAGAAGCCCAGGCTGTTCATTCAATAATTTCTCACGAGCTGAAACCTCAGAACCAGTTCCATTGGTTTGCTCAGACGACTTTTTACAGTTTTGGAAGAAATGGTTCCTTGTGGCAATGGAGGAAGTAGCTCATTTGCCAGATTGACAATCTCAAAGATCTAGCCAGAGTAAAAAAAATCAAAAGAATTTAAATAACAATAATAAGAATAAATTGCAAGATTTAAAATTGGTAACCACCATATAAAAAACTTTACACTAACAATTCTAAACCCACTCAACAATTCTAAACCAACCAAGTTTGCTGCTTTTAGCCGTCCAGATAAACTACCCGACGCAAAGGGCAGTTAGACTAGTTTTCAATGTTATCTCAAAGTGATTATAGAAGGTCCAATGAAGTTCCACGTGGTAAAGATGTCCATATTACACACCATTCAGTTACAAACCCTGTACTGATGCTCTCTCATGGACGAACTCCCATGAAAAACATGCAATTTCCCAACTCAACCCTACTAAAAAAATATTTTGATAACACCACCATCAATGTGAATTTCAACCCCACTGAAAAAAGAGCTTGATAACAGCACCATCAATACCATTTTCAACCCAACTCAAAAGAAACTGATTCTATGTCATAAGTTATAAATGCGCAGAAAATATATTAACTTTCAGAATAATCGTTAGCTTACAAATGTAACGTAGGTACATACTCAGAACAAAAACTTTTCAGTTTACCTAAACAGAAGAAATAATTAAACGGAGAAGCTAAAATGTAACCAACAAAAAAAAATTACCTGCTCTGGTGGCTTACTTAAAGCAGGAGAAACTGATGTGCTAGAAGAAGAAATTCCAGAACCTGAAAGTACATCTTTAAGAATTCCTATCTATCATGTTATATGGTGATTAATCACATAATGATAGAAGAGAGAGAGGTGGTAGCGTGGTTTCTTTTGCAGTGAGTTTGGTATGGTTGCAGTGAGTTTGTTCACGCAAAGTTACAAAAACAATAATAATAATATTATGATTGTGTCTGAAGAAAAATGCTTAGGCCATCTCTAACCGAGGGTTGGTCAGAGGGCTCGTTTTAGCCCTCTGGCCCTCCAAGATTCTCCAAGATATTAAATTTTAATAAACAGTACATGGCCATATTTGCCTTCGTCTCCAACCGAGGGCCAAAGGGCCAGAGGGCTCATTTTAGCCCTGTCATAAAAAATCGTCTCCAACCGAGGGTCAAAGGGCCATAAGGCCAAACATAATTTATTATTTAAATTTAAAAACTACAACAACTTAAATTTAAAAAACAACAACTTATATTTAAAAACTACAAATTGAATTTAAAAACTACAAATTAAATTTAAAAACAACATTAACTTAAATTTAAAAATTACAACGACTTAAATTTAATATCCATAATCAACATCATCTTCATCATCAGCCATTGTAGGAATATAGTCAGAGGTAAACAATTGCCGCTGAGACATAATTTCCTTTTTTTCCTATCAAAATAGGCCTTACTCATTGGAGTGTAATTCGAAGTGTTCTTTTCCAAATTCTTATCATCCATCTCTTCTTGTATTTGTTTGGCCCGTTCTTCATGTCTACACTTCCTTTCTTCCGCCTCAAGGGCATTTTGCTCTGCCAGTAATCGCAATGAGGCCGCCACTTCATGTTGAGCGGCGTAATCAGCATTTGCCTGACCCTTTTCCCTCAACCTTCGGGCCTTGTTTCGTCCCATAGCCCTAGGTAAAGAACTTTCGGACGGAGTCGGATTTTCTACCCTTGTTTGTTGAATGGTAGGAGATCCATCTTCATTCATATCTACAGAGATGAAGATGTAGCTCCCAAAGGATCCACTCTATGTTGACATCTTCAAATAACACCCACCCTTTACAAATTTCCCAACAACCGTGAAACTGAAAGGGTTTTTGAGCTGCCCTCCATATACAATTCCTCCGCTTGGCGTACCTAGAAAATATAATTACAAAAATTTTAGGAAATTAATTCACGAAATTAAATGTAATATAATGACATATAATTACAAAAATTAAATGTAATATAATTAAACATTTAAAATAAACTGTGAAAACACTAACTTCGTCATAGTAATTGGTGTCGCTTTCATGTCTACTTGCTGCTGCTAATAGTGCTTGATGCCATTTATTCAAACTTGGATGAAGATGTTTCTTCCATCTTGAAGAACAACTTTCGTGGTTTCAGGTATTCGGTGGAATGGTGCCTTCGTAGAACTCTAAGTATTTTTTGGACACACGAGTCCAAACACCTTCACTTGTTTGAGAAATCCCCCTCACACTATCTTTTGAGACCCATCTATAAGCCTTGCAAAGAGCTTCATCTTCTTTTCGGGTCCAAGCCCTACCTTTCATTGCAGATGAGGCCATTTTTTTTTGAAAAAAATGAAGGAAATATTGAAGGAAATTATTGAAAAAATATTGAAGGAAATTATTGAAAATTGAAACAAATATTATAGATGAAGGAAATATTGGAAAATATATTGAAGGAAATATTGAAGGAAATATTGAGAAATATATTGAAGGAAATATTGAAAAATATTAAAGAAGGAAATATTGCAAATGAAGTGAAGAATTGAAAGAACTTCACCATATTTATAGAAGAAAAGAAATGTTTAAAATTAAAAAAAAAAAAACAAAAAAACCCAACGGCTAGCTGACTCAGCTAGCCATTGTATTCAAAAAAATTTCAAACTATTAACCGACACTAATAGTAAAACTATAAAAAATAAGAATTTCTCTTTAATGCTGTCGGTTATAACCGACAGCAATAGGAAAACTATATAAAAAAAAAATAGCCAGCCAGCCAGCCCTTTGGCCCTTTGAAATTCCGTGGGGCCCTCCCAGATTCCAGAGGCCTCTGGCCTAGCCCTCGATTGGAGACGGTTTTAGGGCTATTTTCGGCTCTCTGGCCCTCTAGACCCTTCGGTTGAAGATGACCTTAGTTCCTTCCTACAGGCCAAATTAATTCGGCAGTAAATATTCATATGCCATAAATTATAGGGGAAATTTGGAAAAATAACCAAATTTTAGACCCCATATAGAATTATAGCCACCATTTTAATTTTATGATAATTATAACCAAAACTTGATGTAAAAGTACTAATATACCCTTAATATTAGGGTTTCTCACAACAACCAAAACAAAATTTTTAACTATCCTAAAATGAGAAATTAATCTTCATCACTTTTTTGTTTTCACTATTCACTTTGCATATGCAATTTCGTATTCTTTCTTCATCAACTGGAAAAATATATTGGAATGTATGCAATTTAGTCAGTGAAACACTAAATCGAAGTATCTAATTACAAAAATAATAATTAGCTATGGAATTAGTACCTTCTGAAGAACATTCTCATAGGGTTGTCTTGCTAATTAAAGAGAAAGTTAATTCAGTGGCCTCAATCTGCAATAATCCTCAACATTTTAAGGTAGTTTAAAGGTTGTGTTGTGGTTGTTATGAGAAACCCTAGTATTAAGGGTATATTAATACTTTTACATCAAGTTTTGGTTATAATTATCATAAAATTAAAATGGTGGTTATAATTCTATATGAGATCTAAAATTTGGTTATTTTTCCAAATTTCCCAAATTATAGTTGATTCGAGTATAAGCACGACTGTTTACTTGGAAGTCAACCAGTGTTTGATGGTTTGTTCAGGCAAATTAGAAACAGAAAGCAGATGTTTAAATAATCAATTTTCCACTTAATTCAAGCGCATCCTTCCTTAATTTAGATACCTAAATTAAGGAATGTGTCTCCATTTAGGCTAGAACTGATGTACAATAAAATTGGGATAGACCAGAAGGTGAACATTAATGAAGATGTAAGTAAAATAAACTATTCGTTGTTGTAGGCCTATTTAACCGAAGAATTATAGAGAGCGAGAAAAAGGTGTGGCGGCAAGGAGACAGAAATTTGGTGAATTTTGAGGTGTTTGTTATGCCTTTATTTATAGTACCAGGAAAGGTAATTTCTTGACCCTTTAGGTATACAACTGAATACGACAATATCTAAAAGATTTTACATAATCACAATTGATTTACGCAATCACATTCATAACTAAATAAGGTCTGCAAACTCCCACTTGAGTGTGAAAGTACTTAAACAAAAACATTGCATCGATGTTATATAGTTTCTAGAAACTTAAAAAACTCCGAGCAATATTTTCACTAACGGTAAAATTTTGAATGTAATATCAACGACCTGAACTGTTCATCTTCCTGCATCTTCTAAAAAGATCGTGTTTTCAAAATTAAAAAAAAAATCTGAAAAACAAAATTTGGTGAGAAGAATTGACTGTAAATGTAAACGACAATTAACGGTTAAATTTCGATCTGTAGTTTATGTGATTGTAGTAGCGAATTTCGAAGTTGACCATTCACGAAAGTTGTAAAGCTTGTCATTATGAGGGTTTATATATATATTTTTATATTATTCACACTTTTGCATTAACTAATATTTATTTGATACTTGAAAGACAAATGTGTTTTTATGTTTTGAAGTAATATTTATGTACCAATGTCGCAAGTATATACAAATTTAGTATTATATTTTCATTTGATTATTTATTGGTTTTAAATATATTTTGTTTAATAGGTAACGGGTTTGGTCATATTATCTGTTAATAGGTTGGATTCGGGTCGAGTTCGGGCCGGGTCATATTACCCCCTTTTAATGGGTGTTACATGACACGACCCATTAAGATATTGCGTATGACATGAAAACGGCATGAACACGAAAAACACGACATGAATGCCAGGTTTAGCATTGAGTGATCACCACCTATGGGTATTCGTAAGAGTGACTTTGTTTGGTCAATCTGCATTGGGGACCACTTCTTGCTTGGTTACTTATTGTAGGTTTCGATCGAGTTGTGTCGCTCTAGCTCTAGTTTTCAACATATTTATGAACTATAGATTTAAGAACCTTTGTGGATTGATTTAGAAAAGTTGTTGGCTATCTGGTTGAGTTCTTTGGGATTTCCAACGAGTTTGATTATGATTTTATAAGCTATGGTTTTATAATTGATATTTAATCACTAAGATCAATAGATTTATTCTACGATTAT